CGTAAAGATTTAAGGGGCAAATACGGCGGCGTTTGTTTTTAAGGCACTTCATTAGAAAATAAAAAAACATTTGATGTCTGATTCACAAACTGAAGAGTCGGCTAACCGGCTGATTTGACGTCCGACCAGCTGCTAGCTCAGTAGTAGCTGACTGCGTGACCGTCCAGCTGGAGCCTGGCCGACCGACCTTTGGCAGATTCTGGATGAGGGGCCTGAATGTTAGAAGTAAGAGTGGTAGTAATAAAAACGGCGCCACTGAAAGGTGTTACGCAGCAGTGTGTCAGTGATTCTCACACTTCACATTTTTACCACAGTTGACAGATAACATTGCAAAGTGTAGATGGTGTGTAATGAGCCGGGGACTAAGCTGAGCCGTGGGTTATGTTTCACAAAATGAGAAAATAATAATAATAAATGGATCTGACTCCAAACACTCGGCCACTGGCGGCTTCTTCTTAGTTCTTACTCAGCCCAAAGTCAGACGAGCTCACCTGCCTTAAAAGCCTCCTTTATATCTTATTATGTAGGTTTAAAGTGCTGTACACTGAAGAATGAGATTAGCCTAATATAGCTTAATGCTGACATCAGTAGTCTTCGCCTCTCTAGATGGTCACTGTGTCATAACCGCAACAGAAATGACAGACCGGCTGTTGGACCTCAACCAGTCATAAGTTGCTGTCTTTAACCGCCTGTGTGATTTACATCGGTGATGTAACTAACGAGACGCCATGTTAATGAGTGACATTTGAGGTGTTGGTAGACATATTTTTGAATTTAGGGAGTAAGATAAGCTAGCTGTTTTCCCTGTTTCCAGTCTTCATGCTAAGCTAATTGACTCCTTACTCTATAGCTTAACGAGCTTTATTTTCCCAAAATCTCAAATTATGAACAGCACACTGCAGTGCATTTATAAAGGCACAAGATACGCTGTTAACACATACTTCTGATTATTGCATCATCCGCCCAGGAGTGAGTGAAAGTTTATGTTTTATTGGCCTCAATCTACCACTCTCTACTCCTGCTGCTGAATTATACAAAGGAATATGGAGTGGAGAAGACGTGTAGTGGAGAGCGGTGAGGGAAGTGAAAGAGAGAGGGTGAGGAGGGGAGCCGGTGAAGGAGTGTGTTTTTAAATGGAGGTCAGGAACAGGGTGAGATTCAAGGGTCGCGGTGCACGAGAGGAAAAGAACGGAGAGAGGCTGGAATAACATAGTGGCTAAAAAGCAAATGGGTGTCTCAGAAAAGGAGGGCAAGGTATTCTATTTCATTCTATTTCAGCTTTCAGTCGTTTTTCTATTCTGTTCTTCATCTCAAGGTCGGTTACGAACTGAGACGGTTGCATTTGTTGTGTTCACATTCATTCTTCTCCCATTAAAAAAAATAAAAGGAAAACATTGTATAACACGTAAACTGGGTTACAAAAGGGCTTTCAGGGCCGCGAACAATCTCCACACAAACACAGACAGGCAAAACGTTATAAACAGTCACACAAAAGCAGCTCGACGGGAGTGAAAAACCAAGTCTTAAGGTCGCTGTTGACAACGATGAGAAGTTTCGAGCCTTTGAAACGCTGATAACACCCTCTCTTGACATCTCTCCAGCTCCGAACCAGAATTCCTCTTGTCACATAGAAAAGACAGAATTTATGGATTTACATTAAAGAAACGACTCTGGTGTCATGTGTCTCTTCATCCTCCTTTATTCCTTTGTTAATTCTTCTTTCTTTTCTTTTTTTTTTTTTTCATATAAGGACAAGGACTCCTGTCCCAAAGCGCTCTGCAGCTCAACAACCAGGATGCCTATGCAGCAGCTGGTTACCATAGTAACCAAGCTCTGGCACTTGGGGAAACAGTCACGGGCCGCGGCGGGCAGGTCGGAGGGGCAGTTCACAGCTACAATCAGGTACAAACACGCATGAATTCATCGAAGGATTTCTTTGTCCTTGTTTCCTTTTTCCTCCATTTTTTATCTTTTTCTACTCCCCCCCCCCCCCTCAATTTTCACCTTCCTCCACCCTTCTGCTTCTTTATCCTTCCTCTCTCTATTCACCCATCCTCCTCCTCTTCATGCCTCCGTCTCCCGTCCCACTCTGTGCTCCCTTAATCTTCCCCCTCTCTCTCACCCAAACCGTTTCTTTGTACTCCCTTTGTCCCCCCCCCCCGCTCTTTCCTCCCTCCTTTCTCCCGCATTCCTCCTTCATTTACATCCCTTTCTACTTCTCACTTGTTGCCACGACCTCCTCCTTCCCTCACTTCTCTCATGTCCCTCCACACTCCGTTCCTTTTCAAGGTGACATCCAGCCGTGCAGCTGCCCAGTTAGTGGGGACAGACTCTCCCTCCCAGTCCCAGAGAGACTCATTTGCCCAGCAGGCCCATGGCAGCGCCTTCCATATGCCCACAGAGGGAGGATCTGCACCTGCTGGACCATCCATGTATTACTCCTGCGCCACTCTGCCTGCACAGGTAAAAATCCCTGAAGAATTACTGTGACGCTTCAACTGTCGTCTGGTGGATGCTTTCTGCATCCTCTCAGCAGTAGACGGTTGGTGGATTCCTCCAACCCTGCTGTCACCAGGTGGAGTCCAAAAGTTTCACGGTTTCTTTTCTGATGGTCCGATCCATTCTGTTGCATTAAGGAAATACGACGCTTATCGACCCTCTGCAGACTCGCAGTGAGCCTCTGAACACACCAGCTGTAGCAGTACTTATTATATATATTTGCTATCGCCACATAGCTAACGTTAGCATTAACAGCTGTTTACTCGCCAGTCCAGAAGTATGTATTGCTTCTATTTCTTTCATTTCTTTTCACTTCCTGAGTAACTGTGGCGTCCAGTCTGTCCCTGACGAAGTAGCGCTGCTCAGAGGGCTTACTATAACCTCTTATAAACACAGTGATGACTGAAGCTGGTAACTTAACAGCTGTTATTGCTCACATTGGCCATGTAGCGATAGCACAACTTACAAATAGCTCCTTTTAATGTTGTCCAGCTACCAGAATTCTTAGAACAAGATCAATTTATTTAGATGATTAGATGCTATCGGATAACACAACTTCACACAGGCAAAGAGAGTTACCCCAGCAGGTCTTGAACCTCCAACCTGAGGGAACCGCCGAGCCGAGCTTCGTGAAAACATCATATTTGCTGATGATGGATTCACTTCAGTTATTTCTTTGACTGTGAAAAAAATGTTACAATAAACACATTTGAGTAGGAATTATTGATTATTGATTATTTCTCTAGACACACTAGAATTGGAGGAAGTTAAGTTTTGGGTAAGTGAATCTGAGAGTAAATTTTGTGGTAATGGATCTTTAACACAAAACTGCAAAGTAATTAATTTAAAGGGATTCTTAAATAAGTTTTTAAACTCTTACGTTAGCATGAACCTCCACGGACGGAGGTTAGCTTGCTCAAAGTCTTTATTTAGTTTTTGTTTCTCTCATAATCTTCATTTTGACATTTGAACACATTTGCATTAATTAGAAATGAATAACGGTGGTAAGTTACTGCTTTGTTTGAACTGGAGGTGAGAGGATATTACAGCACAGCAGGTTGATTAACGAGCGCTACTGTGCGTTCCCAAGTGTTGTGGAGAGCTTTATTCATGTTTTTTTAAGGGGACAGTTGTGTTTTGCACTTCTTCAGTGATTACCCTCTTACTGTACAAATAGCCGCACCAGGATACTAATGATGAGCTGCCGCTGTCACGTGACTCCCGTCTTGCAGGATTTACTCGTCCCTCTAGAGTTTATCATGCTTATCATTTCTCCAACTCGCAAAGATGGAACAAACGTAAACCCTTTAGTTTGTTTGTGGTTCGTCTGCTGGATTTGAAAAGGACATTCATGTAACACCGTTACCGACCTACATTCATGTCCCGGATTACAAAAAAAAAATTCCTACCAGACCATAAATGCAGCACGGCAGTTACGGCTAAACCAAGAAAATCATTAGTTTTAACCAGATGAGTTTTGGGCCAAAGGCTAACAGTCCACTAAATCTCAGCCCAGTGACCTCCACATCCTCCTCCTGTACTTTGTTGACTGATGTAAGAATCTAGGAACCAATAAACAAATCCTGTTGTCGATTATATACTGACCTAACGGAGCAGAAGATTACAACTCTCAGCTGTGCTGCGGTGAACTACTTCACCACCAAAGTATTAGTTATATTTGGGGCAGATGTTGAGTGTTTTATACAATATAAACACATGGCACCTCAGTGCTGTGGAGGCCGAGCTGTGCCGCCCGCTCTTCATCCGACTTCCTGCTTTGTTGGTAGCAACTGAAAGAAAAAGCTTATCCTGCATCTTTCTTGCAATTAGTACAATGGGATTACTGTATGTGATTTGCAAGCAGTTCCTTGTATGGGGTCGGTCAACAGTGCAGCCACAATGCAGCAAACTTGTGTTAAATCTTGGCCTCTTAGGCGATGATTTACTCTTTTATTGCTTCTTTTGCTGCACTGTGATGAATTCATTTTTCAGGCTCAGAGCTTAGGATTTTAAGAGTCCCGTGTTAATCATGTCTTTGAATTCATTTAAAAAGATTTAACAGCACTGTTCCGCTGTATCAGGAATTGGCAGCGTCCTCACTTTCGCACGTCTTGACCAAGCTCATCCAAATTAATGGAGTGTTTAAAATTGTACCTTCAGCCCTGCAACTGCAAGACCTTGCAAATATTTCTTCAACTTATTTCCCCATTTGGCAACGAAATGAAAAAAATGCATGTTGAGGATCCTGAGGAAACTTCATTTGGCGGCCCATTGCTCGCAGACGCGTTTCAAGTTCATTTGGTTGTAAAAGTTCGGAGTCATCCCTTTATGTTTGGTCTAATAACTCCGAGCTCTTCATCACGATGTTATCACAGATTAGAGTCTGTGCTCTCTGGTTTTCCAGCTCCGGGGGGGTGGGGGTGTTCATCTCTCTGAAAATAATAGCATGAATAAGAGGGAGCGGATGAATATTTCAAGTGAGTGACATTCCCTTTTAATGAAGTACAACTCTTCTATTACAGCGTGTCAGCTCCCCTCTGCAGGCGGTGGGATCCCCTACCAAGCTGCAGCGCCTGGGATCAGCCTCCTCTGACATGCCCAGCTACGCCACGCTACAGAGGGTGTCCTCACCCAAGCAGTCACCCAGCCGGCTCGCCAAGTCCTACAGGTTGGTTCGATTTCAGTCCGACCAAATGATTTAACAAGGTCTCATTGCCAGGAGCACGTTACGCAAGAGTTTTACTGGTCCCGAAGGTCAAAAAAAAGATATTTGCAAGGAGGTCGATACGGCTGTTGATCAATACCAGTGACTCAACAATGACTTCACCTGCTGCTGAGATCTCTGCCTTTGAAAAACACTCTGGAGCCTGTTTCAGAACGAAAGCTCTGTGTTGTATAAGTCATGTTAGATTCCTGCGCTACCTGCTACTTCAAAAGGTTTTACGTTATGCTTTATCACGCCTCAGCCTGCGACGTTATGAGAAAGAAAGCTGTGACCAGCATCGACGTGCTGCGTGCTGAGTATATCACGGTCGGCGGTTCGATCCCCGGCTCCTCCTGGTCCACATGTTGAAGTGTCCTGGGGCAGGATGCTGAACCCCACATTGTCCTCGATGGCTGTTCCGTCAGTGCATGAGTGTGTGTATGGGTGTGATGTATGAATGTGTCAGTGAGTGGGTGTAATATCAAGCGCTTTGAGTGGTCGATAAGACTAGAAAAAAGAGCTTTATAAGTGCGGTGCATTTACTGTTTACCTTGGTTCGACTGTTAAAGCCACGAGCCAGCACTCGTGTGGTTTCTGAATATGCTCCTGTCCCTTTGCCGTTTTTCTAATGCCTTGGTTTTAGACTTTGAATGTGCTGGTCTCACCTGTTGCCGGGTGTTGACTCTGTCCAGAGTTTTTCCCTGTCAAAGACAATTAAAGGGATTAAATTGTTCTGTGCATTGATTGGAGGCTTAAGTGCACAAGTACATATTAGATGAAAACGCCTGAAGCACAGTTTTACAATGTTAAACAGATAACAGACTGCTGGTGGGCCAGTCGATAAAAGCTCATGCTGTGTAGCCAAATGTTGTTCAAACCCACAGAATTTTATTTTAATTTCCCGCTCAGATCCTAAAGTTTCCAAAATAAACAAATATGTCTGAATATCGGGAGGATGTGTATGAAATGATGCTCAAGACGTCCAGAGTGCATCTGTCTGATGGAGTCATAGGGTTTTAATATTTCTCTTGGTGTAAATATTATATAGTTTCAGTACAGAGCTGGAACAATCTGATACAAAACATATATCATTTTTGTCAGGCAGTGTGACAGTTTTCTCATCCGCATGGCCATAAATTTCATCATCTGCCCCTGACTGCGAACATCCACACAGACTGCGTGCAGCCCAGACTTTATGACAGCATGGACTGTGCACACAGATTGTGCACGTTGACCATATGCCCCGACAATCATGCATGAAAATATCTGAGTTTGCTTCATGTGTGCATCCGCTGCCCGCCGTGTTTTTGGAGTAAATCAGTCCCTTTTAATATGACTTAAACAACCTTAAAGCGACTTAAGGGGAAATCACATCAGGGAATTGTTGAAACGGGTGAAAAGGAATAAAGTTTGGGAACGTAGCTGTAAAAAAAAACCCAGCATGGGTCAAGATCCAAATGTGCACAGAGGACATTACGAGACTTTAAAACCAGTTTTGAAGTCAAAAACAGAGCGGAACGGGAGACGTATGAACAACAGTCAAACAAAAACCCTCCAACACCTTTGTTCCCTCCTCCCGCAGCACGTCATCGCCCATCAACATGGTAGCATCGGGCGCCGCCGGCTCCTCCTCACCCCTCCCCATGGCAGCCTCCCCGGGCGGGAACCACACCTCGTCACCCATCCACCAGCTCAGCTCGGTGGTGGGAAGCTACGCCACGCTGTCGCCCACCAAGCGCATGCTGCATCACATCGGACCAGACAGCTACAAGATTTCCCACGAGCTCTACGCCAACGCAACCCTGCAAAGGCCTGGTAGCCTGGCAGGTAGAGGTCAAGACCATTTTATTATTACTTTTTTTATGTGTGAGTGTGTGTGTGTGTGTGAAGTGCCGTCATGTCATTTACTGTCATATTAAATTTAATGTAGTAATGTAGTTTAATGTAGATAGTCCTCCCTTTCTAACAAGAACAAAATGAGCATTCACCTGCCATAGAATAATAATATTAGTGCAGATGTTCCTTAATGACCAATCTCATTAATTGCGTCGTTTCTTAGAATAACCTAAATGTCTGTTTAATTGAAATTCCCATTTTAATACCTTTCGTTCAGTGAGATTTTATATTACAGGTTTTCTTTAGGGCCTAATATTTCTGCTGCAGTTCCATTATGTTAGTTTGTGATAGTTAAAGGTGAAGTGAACTTTCCATCTACATGTGATTAGTGTTCATCAGCATGAGCAAAAGGACACAAAAGAAAACACAGTTTTTATTAAATTTGCTCAAGGTTTTATCTAAAATTTATCAGATTGTCCTCGTGAATTTCTGAACAGTTCATGAATTAAAAACAGTTTGACTTTGTTTAGAGCTTTATCAAAAGGTGGATTTGTCATTTTTGAAAAATATCTTTTATTTAGTTGAATTAAATTTGTTCATATCAAATACAAAGTGGCAATGACAACCACTATCTCCTCATGTTAATCAAACCTATTAAAAGAGTTATTTTTATGTGATCATATGATATCAATCATCATATGTTATGCAGTGTCGCACTTCGATGTCAGTGTTTTATTGTCAATATGGTATCTGTATCTGTATCTGTATCTGGAGGAAAATCTATATATATATATATATACACTTCTTCTGTGGTTTATTTGAAGTGTCGATCCATAAGAAGATATATTTGTGGTTTTAAGAACCAAAAACCATCTCAGTGTAGTTTTACATCTCCTCTCTCAGGCTTCTCTCTGCAGCTCTGGTAACAAGGTCAGTGAGCCAATCAGAAGAGAGGAGGCTCTGAGCCTCTCTTCTGATTGGCTGACTGTTTTCTGAGTGATCCAATAAAAATAAAGCGGATTTCAGGTAAAAACACTCAGAGAAACCAAATCCTGCAAGGTTTGGATGGTGGGTCCAGGTGGGCGGGGCTTGGTGACTGCTTTGTTGTGACATCACAAAGTTCCAGAAGTCCTGACGGCTGGTTTTAAGGCTCAGTTTCTGAATACAGGCTGTGTGCATTTCTCTGTGGACTGAGGCTTTGATACTTTCACAGTATTAATATAGAAGCTAGAGCTGATCTATAATCACACTACACATGGACACAGACCTTTATATCATATGGGACCTTTAATATCAGTTGCACATCCCCCTGCAAATACACGCCAGCCTGAGTAGTTTGACATGAAAATTTATTCTCATGTGTTTATCTGTCTGTGTCTTCTGCAACTTCATTGAATTTTCAACGACCGGTGACTGAACTGGCTGCCGTGTTTACAAGATAATGTCTGATTCAGAGTCGAGCTCTTCCTGTAAGCTACTGTTTAAATGGCTTATTTTATTTTTATGGTGTATGTAACTACAGCAAAAGCAGCCCGACGCTCTTTGATGATGAATGGATACTCTTGCCTTTTTAAAGTTTAAAGAGAGTAAAACATGAAAGCATTTCTATAAATGTTTTATGAAGTCATTTAAAAGACAATACTGACTTCAGTGGCCTAAATTTCATTTGCTTTCTAATTTGTATTCTCTATGTTTCCACCGTTTACCGATCACATTGATATGTTACGGTACATCCCCTCAATTATCCGTCTATCCATCAATCCTTCTGTCAGTATATCTTACCTCTGTGTTTCTCCTGCGTTTTCCAGGCTCCAGAGGTTCCTACAGCAGCCAGCACAGTCACCTGGGCTCCGAGCTCCGGCCCCTGCAGTCTCCTGAACACCACATCGACCCCATCTACGAAGACAGAGTCTACACCAAACCCAACCTTAGAGGACAAGGTAAGCAGACACGGGGATATGGAGGCTGAGGGGAAATAAAGACATGAGATAGAAAGTTATTTGTTTAAGGAGGTTAAAAGTGATATCTACAAGCGCAGAGTCTACAACACTGAATCCCATAAGACACGGGGAATAGGAATGAGGATTCACAGAGAGAGATTGAGCAGAGAGCAAACGTCTGACGGCCAGTGAGTTTTCACGGACCGTACAGGAGGACGGTTGCAGATTCACAACTAAGGTATTAAAGTGAGATGGAGGAAAAGGAGGAAGGAGGATGGACACAGGGCTTGTAATATATTTTTCAGTGATTAACAAATAATTCACTTTATAAATCATATACATAGGAAGAACCTTTGGGTTGCCAGGTTATGAGGAATCTCCCCTGCAGAGTCATTAAGTCATTAATAAAGTTTTTAATAAAGGGTTTGGAGATTGTGAATGGTAATTAAGTCATAAATAAACAGATTTCTCACTGTGAAATAAACCAAAGTCAGATGCAATAGTAAATGTTAGTCGGTAATAAGACGTTAAAAAGATTGTGGTTCAAATTAGGGCTGAACGATGTGCAAAAAAGAAATCTGAGAAAACACCCTGATGATGTCATCATAACCCTGATGATGTCATCTGGGTAATCTCTCAGCATAGCCATGGAGAGTACAGAGTCTTCACTGAGAACCTGAGGTGTGGAGATTTGCCTTCCCCAGGCAGGAGAAGTCTGAGGAAAGATGCGGGTTGAGTTGCATTATGGGAATCGTAGGATCCAGAATTTCTGGAGCCTGGAACTGGAAACACTCGGGACATCTCCGTGTCTGCTGCTTAGATTTTGTCTCTTGTAAACCTCCCAGCTTTGTGGAATTGCAGTACTAAACTGCAAAGACGAAGCACATATCACACTGGAGGGAGAAAAAAACATCAGAAACAACAATCAGGAGCATTTTAATAGAATAAAAGTTGTTCTTAAGGACTTTGAACTGGATTTATGAAGGTGCCTCATTAGACAGAGTTAGAAGCATAAAGGGAAAATGATAAAACCACTGGTAACATGTGGAGAATCGGAGTGAGACTGTGAAAAAGTCTTCAAATGGTTCAACACTAGAAATAGCTGCAGCTGCTGTAACTCACCCACTGAACCATCTAAATTTAAAAATCAAGAGTGCACGCAGACATCACATGATACCCCAGTAAAGTGGTGGATCAAAGAAATACTTCACAGCGCAGACGGGCAGAACAGAAAAAGACACAGCTTGGTCCCACTTAAAAAACTAGGTGTTTTTTAATAGTGTGGTTTTATATTAATGGCTGCTATACATAAGAGACTTCTTCTTACCATCTGATCATGTAGCGCTATTTACCAGATCAGGTAGGCAAATCCAATTGGGGTCTCAATGGCAATTTGTCTCTCAGTCACAGTCTGTTAACTAATTAGTTTCAAGGCTGAAAATTAATCTCAATTAATCCCACGGGCGTTAGCTTGGGTGCTTTGAAATCAAAGCAAATCAACCGTGTCCTTAAAATGTTTTCGACGTTGTGCCGCCGGTTTGGTCGCCTGAACGTTGAGAGAAACACACAAAGAGGGGAATATGAAAGAAAACCTCACACTTTGTCCTCAAGGTTTTTGTTCCAGTAAAGAGAAATTCACCCTAATAATTAAAAGGTTTGAGGTCTGTTTTTTTTTTTGTTTTGTCCCTCTGGCTCCCCGTACGCAATAACAGTCTTCATCTTCATCTTTGTGTGCGCGGATGTCAGTCACGACTCACGACAGCAGCAGCAAAAAAATAAATAAAGAAATAAAACCCCCACACTGTCTGTCAAACATAACACAACAGCTTAGATCTGCCTTTCACTTCTTTTTATTTTTCTGTGCAACACAAAGTAGCTGTTGACGCCTGGCTGTGATTCAAGGTCAGTTCAAATAGTTTCAAGATGACGAACAGAGTTGGAAACAAAGCAGACAACAATTCACAGCCGACTTCACATCACAGGTGAATTTCCTCAGGCCTAGTCAAGGTCCCTGCAGTTATCTAGTTACACACACACACACACACACACACACACACGCAGTGACCCACTTCACCTCCCTCGCAGCGAGCCGGTGGAACTGCCCCAATGTTTTTCCTGAACTGAATCCCTCTCTCTGTTTGAGACTGACGAAGGAGGTTGCGAAGGTTGCGAAGGTTGCGAAGGGTCCGAGAGCTCACAGCGAGGGTGAATCACACACTCGGGCGCCGAGACCCCCGAAAACCTCCGGGATCAACGTAACGGCGGCTGCTGTTCAACTGCTGATTCTGTTTTGTAATACACACAATTAAGGAGAATGTAAACTGGGAGGTTATAGGAGCATGAGGAGGAGATTAGTTTAGGTGCCGCAGGAAACGAGTCCTTAAACCTGAGAGATTAGTCAGATTTTCAGCGTCTGTGTTGACCACATAAGGTCTGTGTTAAACGTCATCACGCCCCACATCACGAAAAACTGATCCACTCACCAGTCCACCTCCTGGTGATCGAATTTAGGCTTCAAAAAATGACAAAGTGGTTTTCATTTCTGATGATTATCCTGCTGATCAAAAGTCTTTTGTTTGTCACAGAGCTCATTTCACTGAACCACCTGAAGGGATCTGTTGTAAAATGATGAATAACCATCATTATTATTATTATTATTATTATTATCATTATTATTATTATTGGGGGGCATGGGGCCCCTCTAGTTTGTTAACCCTGAAGTTGGGGGCATTTATCTCTAAAACCTTGATCCCCAGGTGCGGCGGGTTTTACCTGCGACCTGTGTTTATTTTTCTGTTAACGATGTCTGTGTGCCTGATTTGATTTTGTGCTTCAGTCTGTCTGTGATTTTACACCCAAATGAAGATCTGAAACTCATTTGGTACGATCGCATTTATCACCTGATCTTACTCCACATGTTCAGTTGGAAGTTTGTCTCATTTATTTACTTTTACTTATTTTTTGCTTCTTCCCTTTCTGCTTTTTTTCTTCTTCTGTGCTGTTTTGTTCCATCGGTGCTGGTGTTGTTGCTTTTTACTCATTGTGTGTGTGTGTGTGTGCATGTGTGTGTGTGTGCATGTGTGTGTGTGTGTGTGTGTGTGTGTGTGTGTGTGTGAGTGTGCGTGTGTGTTTTATGTGCATCCTCGTGTTTGGTTGCGGTTTCTTTGTCCCCCGACCCTTGGCCACTCCTCGGCTACATCAAACCCAGTGGTGAACCAGTTGTACCAAGAGGTCCTCAACTATCTGCTCTGTCCCTACGCTCCTCTTCCCGCTTTAGCCCCGCCCTCCCCCGGTGTCGACCCAATCCCCTTGCAGCGAACGGGAAGCCAGAGCGCCACCGCCACTTTTCAGAGAGGCAGCTTCGCCACAGGAGGCGGGGCGGCCGACTACGCCAACCCGTACCGTACTCTGCAGTTCTGCCCGTCCACTGAGTCGCCTTACAGCAAGTCGGGCCCCGCCCTCCCGCCCGAGGCTGCCCTGGGCCGGTCTCCATCCGTGGACAGCATCCAGAAGGACCCAAGGTGAGGAAAAAACAAAACATATTCACTTGGATTAAGCTCTGGCTTGTTGATGAAGCCCTTTGTTCTGCTCCCTTTCCACTTTCACTGAACTTACTGAGGGCCAGATTCACCAAATCAAAGATATATCAATAACAATAACCTGGAGAACATTAAGCTTTAACTGTGACAAAGAAAAAGAGCTTTAAGTGCAATCCACAAAAGAGTGTCCAAGTTGGAAGTGTGACATGGTGACACCAAAACAGTTTGTAGCACCTCGACAGATAATTGACTGTCAGGATTTGACGGTCGAGTTTCAGTAAACGGCTGAATCTGGGCTTTAGTATGAGGCACACATCACGCCACATCTTTCACTGTCCTCTCTGGTTTGCCTGGTGTTGGGGGCTTGTTCACACTGCCGTATGAATGCCTGCACACACCTCTAGGGCCAATTTAAGAGTTTGCCATTGCTGTTAGGAACTTAAAGCGCCTCTGCGTCAGTGACAATCAGTCCCGTTCTGTGCAGTAGGAAGGAAGACACAGTTAATGTGGAAAGTCTGCATGAAGTCTGCTTTCAGACCGAGAGAGCTCGGCGTGAAGTGTGAGTGTGTGAGAGAGAGAGAGAGAAAGAGAGAGAGAGAGGCAGTGACAGACGAAAAGAGTAAGAGAGAGATCCACACAGAGACAGAATAATAGCTTTTTCTTTATATCGTTCTTTGGTCCTAGTTCAAATTAAGTTTGAAACACTACTCCAATTGTGTGGATTTCTCTTTGTTAGCTTCTTCTTTCTGACTAATGACTACACAGACTAGCTGTCAGAGTCAGGAGCAGCCTAATTAAAGCTGAAGTGTCTCTCTCTGTGACACTTCAACTCAGGTGTAAGCAGGACTCACATATTTATATATTATATTATTTTCTCACATATTAAGTATTTCTAATGAGGAAGTCACTTTGTGCTGAATCGCTTCAGTCTATGGAAACATTTGGAAACACCAGAGTGTGTCGTTAGCGCAGGTGACTCTGGTCGTTGTCGCCATCGCTCTTTCCTCCACCCATCGTCCAAGTGTTTATTTTCTCCGTGCACATTGCACTCACATCTGTTGTCTGTTTGTTCACTCTCGAGCTCTGGCATCATTGTCGTGCAGCTTCCAGCATCCGCACATCTGCACCGCTACGTTGAAAGGACTGACCGGTGATGCATGGCATTTTGCTTTACATTCACAACATGCACAAGTCAGTGCTATTTCAGTAGCTTTGTTGTCCACATTGCGTTAAAGTGAGGGTCCCCCCCCCCCTCAGGGTTGCTCACACAGCGACCTTCTGATCCTGTAGGTGTCCGGTCTTCATGGTTACTCGCTGCGCTGCTGCCGTCCTTCAGCTCAAAGAGGAAATGTTTGGAAAAGTGTGTTTTATAGGATATTATATTTTTTTTATGTCAACAAATCCCATAAAAAGACCAAAACCATCTCATTAATGTTTTTTTTTTTTGGCCTCTTCACTGCGTCAGCCACAAGCTCATTCTCAGTGAAGACGTTTAAAAAAATTGATCACAGATTTATTGTTTCTTTTTTCTTTTTTTCATTTCCTAAAACAGCTGGGTGTTGTAGTTTCTAGCTAACGTAAGTGAAACTTGGCGTAAACCGTGCATTTGTTGGGGACTATTTTCAGCTGCGGATTAATACACACCTGGTGTTCCTGTGGGTATTTACAGCACCAGGACAGTACATGTATATGTGGGGCTGAGATAAACTACAAGGCCCGTGTTCATCATAATGAAGGAACATGTCAATTGAAGTCTGAAGTCTTACCTACGCCAGGCTGTGACTGCAGAGGAGATAAACATGAAATGATCAATTAACGATTGGTTTTGTTTTTTGTTTTTTGTTTTTTTCATGGAATTTGCTGACAATAAGAAAAATATAGAATATCACCACGATTAATACCCAGTGTTTGGGCGACTGGTCAATGGGTCAACGTAGCTGTTGAGTGCTAACACCACAATCATTTGCATTAGATTATTCCTACACGCCTCACCAGGCATAAATCAATATGTAATCTATCAGTGTGTGGAATATAGGAAACTAGCAGCATATTAATAAAAATGAACTTTCATTGATTTAAAAGGACATTTTTTAAATAAGACGTACTGAGTGTAGAAGATGAGCTGTAACTTTCAGGTGAGCAACTGCATTAATCATCGTTTGCCACCACTTGAGTCAATGTGGGAAAAAAAGTAGCTGCTAAAAATACATATTTTATATTATTCTATTATTATCTTGTTTAAATTTAACCACCATAAAACAGGCTTAGCAGCTCAGCTTGTCATTTACTCACCATTAAGCTTCTCTGGTACAAGTCCTGCTTTTCTGAGATAAAGATACTCACCTTCAACTACACACAACTACATGTACAAATGGGCAGCGTTGTCATCTATTTATCATTCAACAGCTAAGTTGACTAACAGGCCAACATCATAAAAAAATGGTGTATTCCTTTAAAAAGGGGATGACACTTTAAACACAGCGGACATGAAATATATAATATATATATATATAGTAGAGTGTAAATCTACGGTTTCTGAAAACCAGTTTAAAAACATTCAGAATTCGCATCTAGGTGTTTGAAACGCTCCACGTTGCAGCGGCCATCGGTTAGTTTGGTGTATGAAAGGAACAAGGCAAGACCCTCTCTTTACCTGACATACCCACCATCTCCCCACCACCTGCTCTAAGTGCATGTCCGTCACCCTGCCCACCTCCTCCACCACTGCCTGATAACCAAATGTTGAGAGAGAAAGACGAGTCTAGTGGCTATATATATATATATACAGTATATATAGTATATATATTGATTTCCACTTACTTATCATCAGTATCGTTGGTTATTGAATAATTTGTTGCCAGACAGCCAACATATACCTCTCTCTTGTTTCTCTCTGCCTGTCCCCCCTCGATAGGTACGACCCAGAATTCCTTGTGTGGAATCAAAATCAAGCCGAGCAAAGAATGACAAAGTAATCCAAGTATTTATTTATACATATATACATTCTGTCTTATCTATCTTACCTTTGTCTCATCCACCGAACCTCTCCATCCTCTCGATATGACACCAGCAGACGCAGATGTTAATGTTAACGGCAGCATGACGACATTTCACATTTGTATTGTCACTCATTTATGCAAAGTGCTGTAATAGACAGGGATCACCTTTGCTTTAGCATTTATATGGATTCTGAATCAGACGTTAGATGAGAGTACTGGCTTTCAAAAGGACTTGGCATTTAATTACGGCATTGCATAATATTGACATCCACTGTGACCCGAAAACACTCACAAATAATAAGTTATTTAAAAAGTCTAATCAGTTTTAAGATAGATGAAAAATTTAAGTAATTAATAATAATTGATTTTTTTTTTTTTTGGAAATTTGCAACATGGCTCACCAGAGCCTCTTGTTTTTTTAAATTGTAAATATTCCTCATTCTCTCCTTGGGCTTTCCATCTCTCCATCCATCACTCCATTCATTTATCTACTTGTTGATTTATTCGGTCACTCGTTTGTCTCCATTGTCCGTCCTGGTGATTTTCTCAACGTGCTTTGTGACCGTTGTATTCATGTGGCTTGCTCAGTGTTAATTTTGGCACCTAATTTTGATTTGTGATTTAGTGGTATTGATCTTTCTGGTGAACTCTCTCTGCCAGAAAGTGAGAAAGTTTAACTGTCAAGAAGTCACACATCAAGAGGAAGATGTAAGATGGCACGCTCCTGAGATCAGAGCCATGTCACTAACATATCATTATGGTACTGTATGGCTACAGAACATACTGTACGGCTCTTGATAATGATATGTTAACGTTAGCTAGCCTGTTAGCAGTGCTAGCCTGTATGTTTTCATGGTTTATCACCTGTCTAATTTTCAGTGGGATTGTGGATGCATATAATCAACAAACCGTCACTACTGTTCATCCCAGAGCTAACGGTGCTGACAAAGACACAACATTAGCTAATATTGCTTGCAGAGACGTCATGTTAGCTAACAACGTGCTAGCTGTCATACAGGAACAATCAGGAACTGCAGTGAGTGGTTTCCTGGGGTGCATGCATGTCATTGAATATTTAGACTCTCATTGATCTGTATTTCACATTATTGATTGGTAATTATTCATTAAACGAGCTATTTGTAAGTTTTGCTATTGCTGCATAGCTAACGTTAGCATTAGCAGCTGTTTACTTACCAGTTTAGGAGACATGTTGTGAGTTCAGCATCAAACTTCGTTCCTTAAATCACCAACAGCTGTCTCCAGAGGTGGAAATCAACGCCAATGTTGACTCTCGTCTCTATCACTTCTTGTCCTGTACTGCATGCTAACCAGCTAGCCCCAGCTAGCGAGGTTAGGTGTTTCCGATAGCGACTCACTGTAGCCTCCAATTCGCCCTGAAGACGTAGCTCTGCTCACACGGCCCATTATAACCTCTTGTCTTTATAAACGGCTGTGGCTCAGGAGGGAGAGCGGGTCGTCCATTAATTGGAAAGTCGGTGGTTCGATTCCCGGCTCCTCCACGTCGCATTTCGATGTGTCCTTGGGCAAGATAATGAACCCCCAATTGGTAGAGAAGCACGATATGTGTAGGGAAAACACGTTCGGCGGCAGAGAAAACTTACAAATAGTCCCTTTAATGAAAATTGTAATATGTCATAGTTTTTGTGATTAAAAAAAAAAAAGAAGTTACATTTCATTTAACTCAATTTTCTAAATCAAGACTTGGCTCGTCAGCTACAACGTGACCTACAGAAACACTCAAACGTCTCTGATGAAGTGAAGGAGCCGATATCAACTCAATGTGGAGATAAAAAAAACAATGTTGATGAATAAAACCACCCATCACAGTAAATACATGATAACTGAAGAGGTGTGAGGTCATTTGGCGCCGTCTGCAGCTGGCTCACTAATGATACCTTTATCCTGCGAAAGCCTCAGACAAAAACAGTCAGCTGATTTGTCAAACCACACACCGGCACAATC